AAAAACCCTATCCAGATAAATGGCGCTATGCGGACAGTGAATGTGATTGTGGTTGGATGAGAACTATAAACATGTAGCATCCAGACACCCGGTTGGTTTTCTCCGCGATGCGCCGGCAGATCGGAGCGACACCGGGTGGGAAAAGTGGTCGGTGGAAAGTTGGTATTTATCGACATGGACCCTCCTCCTCTTCCTCCTCCTCTTCCTCACGCAGATTCCATGTAACGTTAAATGAGCATCTTCATGACCGTGGGTTTGTCCTAAATGTTTTATTGAGAGTCTGGCACAACACAGCGACTTGCAAGCAGCGTATTAAATAAAGTGATGTGTGTCTTAATGCGGCTTTGCAAATGAACACAAAGGGATTCTGTATTTGCTCTTGAAGCCTGAACATACTGGTTATTTGGCCAATGTTTTGATAACCGACCGCTGCCAGTTCAGTGTTTCCCATCATTATAAACAGGGGTGCGCCCCCCACCCCCCCCCATGACGTAGTAAACCTGGGGGAGACACTGCAGTCTACCTCATCAACGCGAACAACGTGTGTGTGACTCGTGTCACTGGAAAATGGGTTGTGGTTTTATCTGTTTAAGTTAATTAGATATATTCGTTGTTTTGTTGTTGTGTCTTTGAATATCGCCATGTTTCCACCATCCCAACGGCAGGTCACGTGATCTGCAGGCACCTTCTGATCACATTGTAACGGACTGACGTGTTGTGTGAGCGAGGTTACACATTAAGAGTTTGTCCTTAATGGAATTTCTTACATTACTTTTATACTTTAAGTAGTTTTGAAACCAGTACATTTATACTTTTACTTAAGTAAAAAGCTTGAGTCGATACTTCAACTTCTATAGGAGTCTTTTTAAACCCTAGTATCTGTACTTCTACTTGAGTAATGAATGTGAATACTTTTGACACCTCTGGTCTCCGTGTGTGTGTTATTACTGTGTGTGTTTGCGCTCATGACATGTGTTGTGAACGTGTGTAGACGCATCTCCCTCCCTCAATTTCTGTGATTTGTGCTTCTGTGTGTGTTTGTGTGCGTGTGCATCTGTCTGTTTGAGGCTGGATTCCCACTGAGGACACTGTTAGTTTGTGTGACCCTGCCACACAGGCCCTTAGATAATACAGCCAGCTGATGAGGTTACCCAAACGGCAGCAGAGGCCCAGCATGCTGCTAATGATGAGAGGAGTGAGGGGGGAGCCACACATCGAGACCCTATTTGGTCAAAGATATGACTGTGTGTGTGCCCGTTTGTGTGTGTTTAGGGGGGACACTTGCCCCACATTAGGCGAGTGAGGCTCTGACCTTAGCAGCTATAATATCAGTGCAAGCTCTGACCCTGGATCAGGCCTGGTTGGCCCTTCAACGGGCCGAGAGAGCTTGGGGAGACAAGGGAGGAGTTGTACTTTCATTGTATGGCCGGTGTCCTCTGTCCTGCCTCTGCCAGCACCACAACCCAGTGAAGGGTGAGTAATGTGAGTAATGGAGAGTAATAGGGTCCAGATAGTGAGTGTGACCGTAACCCTATTGTATCCTGTGTCAGCGGGGTCAGAGGTCACCCACCATGCATACTGGTCCCGGCCCCACCCGACCCATTTGGGCCATAAATGAGTTTACCCAACACTAATCACTGAGGGACTGCCGATGGTCCACATTGCTTAATGGGCCTGACAGCTGCCTGTATGCCGCACTTAGACGTCGTCAACCCCCCCGTCACCCTCCCACCCCAAGACCTGCCACCCCTTCAACCCCCACAACATATCTGACTGCTCATCGATCCCCTTGGCAGTGTTTGTGTTGTGTCATTGAGAGCACTGTTAGATGAGATTTATCTGATTGTCAAAGTTGTACTGAAAATAGTGCAATATTGTATACTGCTCCTAAAGGTAAGGAGTGGAACACATTCATGTCCACATTTCCATTTCTGTGGAGAATGTAGCCTGTATTAAAATTGTCAGGACAGAATTAAGGAAGTTGTTCTTGCATGATGGCTCTTCTGGAAGGTAGCACACTACAGTGAAATAGTTTTTTGTGTTGGGGAGCCCTGGTTAGCATTGGGGATATGAAATACAGCATCCCAGGTACCTCTTGTTTCCTGTTAGTTCTACTGTCCACCAAAATGTTTCGTTTACTGCAAAATAGAAGAGCATCCAGGCATAATTTATTTAAAGTTAGTTAGTTAGAAGTTAGTATGCTAGTGGTTAGACAAAAAGCCAATGGGATTTTGGATTATTGCTAAAAATAGTCTCCTTGGCAGTAACACCAGTATACATCACGCCAATTACACCACCTTTACGCTGATGCGCTACTTTTCAATCGACCAAGTCATGGCGATCGACCTATCTACTGGGGTGTAGTTTGCGTTATGACGTGTATTTTCTGATTTAGCCACTGGTTAGCAGCTGCCATTTTTGACACTTAAAGGCTTGATGAGTTATTTCAGGCATCTTACAATAAACCAACATTCCAAGAACCTTTGACATTAACATAAGCAAACTGCATGTGCAAAAATGCTAACTCGTGGTTTTAGGTTTCAGGAATCATTACCAGAGAGGAGTCGTCCCCTGCTGGTCAGTAGAGATAATGCAAGTTATAAGATGGAAGGAGTTTGACACCTGATCTGTCTGGAGGCCATTAGTCCGCTGGTTTACACTTATTAATTTTAACTGTAATTTTAACTGTCAAATAGTGTAAGGTTTTTGATTGGATGCCTTACAAACAATTACAATAACAAAAAAGAAGACACAGCATACTGCAAAAAGGTCTGTTTGGGTATCAAAAAGGCAGTACGGAAGAGGGTGCTACGTGATTGGGGCCTCACAGTTGAATAATTCTCTTGAATTGATACCTGTTGGTGCTTATTTTCGGCAGCGAATCGCAACTCAACAAAGTGTCTCATTGTTGAGATACGTATGTGAGACCATCCTGTTGGGAATTAAATCAACACTGCTGGTCAGGGAAACTACATTTAACATTCTGATTCAATTGCCATCAGCCATCAGAACATGGCTCGGGACAAAATGACAGCAGTGGTTGTGTTTGAACGAAAGCACAGACTCGCGTCACATTGTGACAGTGTTCCTGACCCTTGGCCTGGACCACAGCTGGAGCTAATAGCTTCCTTCCCTTCACTATGGTTAAGAGACTAGGAGTTAACCATGGGGTCAACATAAATGTGGTTTGTGCTTTGAATATATACTATACTACACTACTTGATCATGTTTTATACTTCAGTTTATTAATTTTATGAATGAACAGTTGAGGCTTGGGTTTATTTGTAATGATACATTATGAATGTACTCGGTTTAATTTGTTAGCTGTAGAACTCCAAAACCTGTCAGTGTGTGATCAACGGTTCCCTGAGAAAACGCCATTTCAAATATTCAAATTTTGATATCTGGTCAAGAACGGTTTATTCTGCAATGATGCATCAAATCAACCATTTGCTTGAACCAAATCCTGTACTGGATATAAATTGTGAGCTCCTCAGCGTAACTAGGAAGCTCAACATTGGCAACAACTGTTGGAACTTGGATAAACGTTGGCCGTATAGGTTCCATTGTTTGCCAATTTTGTTAAATAGGTGTTTTTTAAATGGGATTGTAACTGTGTTATGTTGCTAAATATACATACTTCTAGCCATGGATGTGCTGTTTCCGTAGACGTGTGAGACCACGGGCAGAGGGAACTGTTTTAGTAAAGAATGTTTGTATTTGGAGTTCCACGGTCTCTGAGTTGATGTCGTTAACTCCAGAGTGCTCCTTTTGGCTCACCAGAACTGGAGGTCACAATACAGGTGTTGGTGTTTAAAGACTGCGGTCAGATCCTGCTGCAAGAAGTCAATGACTCTCCGTAGTCATCTTCCTTCTAAATCCGCTTCACGACTCCAGAGAAATCTTCTCTGTCTCTTCTTCCGTGTCCTCCGTCTACAACATTCATCATCCAGCCAACAGCGCTCGTCGGTAACTATCTCTGTGTGTAAGAGGTGGGCCCTCCCCCCTGTCCGTCAACCCCGTAGGAGGGCGCTAAGCCCTGAGACTCGGGTTCGGCCCAACAGAAGCCCCCCTACCACCAGCACCCCTGGCCACCACCCCACCCTCTACATAGCTCCTAACACCCAAACACAACCCGTCAGCCCCACTCCCACAGCGCTCCTCCCCTCTCCTTTCACTGCTCCTCCACCTCTCCACATGCGTGGTATTCACCGTGCATACCTAGGCCGCTAATTCCAACCTGCCACTCCAATCAAAGGATCACGACTGTTGTAGTTTTCTTCTCTTTTCTTCTGCTGGGAAACAATGTTTTAGGTAGATGGAGGCAGGGACAAGTGTGTGCGGGCCTGTGTGTGTGCGTGTAAGCTGCTCTGTGACAAGCTCTGTGTTTAACCCCAAAGTGGTAGACGAGTCCTACATAGGAGTGTGTGCATGTTGTCTGCTCTGCATGCTACCTGCAGCCACTGAAGTGCACGTTCATGGGAAGGGTTGACTACAGCAACAACATTAATTGTTGGTAGATAAGTAAGTAAAGAGGATTCAAGACCGGATGCCGTGAGAGTACCGCACGGCATTTGCACACCATCACTGTATATTCAGTTGTTCAATCAGACTGTTCAGTGATACGGCTCTAAATAAAATCCAGAGTCCAATTTGTCGGAGACCAAAACACGGCCGACTATGAACTCAGCCGATTCCGAGAGGAACGTGAGCCGTAACAAACTGGGGTTTTATTGAGAGATCCTTGAGGACTCTAACACTACTCGGGAGGGGGGGAGGGTGATTGAGTAATGGTTCTTAAAAAAGTGACGTGTTACATTAGGTTAAGCTTTAAGCCGGATATAAATTCAATTTTCCACCAAATGGTAATTGTTCTGAACCAAAGAAATACTTCACATATGAATTAAAGATAAAAATAATGTTGCAGCACTTTGAGTTCAGGGGGTTTAAGTGATGTTAGACTATTCATTCTCTCTCTTTCTCTCTCTCTCTGTGCACAGATCCTTTGTGACGGGCACTGCGTGCTGCGAGAACGTCTCCCCTCTGCGCGTCTGGGACGTTGAACGGTGGGTGAAGAGCTGCTCTGGCCTGCTGCAGCACTGTGCAACCTGCAACTTGTTGAGTTATCCCACACAATCCCACTTCTGGTGAACGATGCATGCTTCATGATAAAACCTGTGACTCTGAACCACGGTTATTGTGGGTAACTCAGCCCGCGCCCTTGAGGATCCTCAGGAGGAACCCTTTGTGAAAGAAACCGAACCCTGTCCCACCCTCCTCTTCCTCCTCCTAACATTTATTTTCACATTTATCGCTTGAAATAATGGAGTCACTTGCAAATCATACGGCAGTACAAAAGGAAATCCATACCTTAGTCTTTCCAAGTTTAACTCTATAATTAAGATATCATTAAACCTAAACTCTGGCAACAAGGAAAATCTTGGGTGGATAAAGGTGACAATAAATATTAAAAAGTAAGCTAAAAAAAATTGAATGATTTGATTTGAATAAACATCAAACTCTGTTACCAAGCTTGTAGACTAGCCCACTCTCCTCTTCCTCCTCTCGCTGTCCGTAGAGGCACGCTCATAATAGTCATCATCATCATCAGCATCATCATCAGCATCGTTTCCTTACAGTAAATCCTCTTGTGTCTCTGCAGCACATCGTACTGTAGGTTGAACATACCACGGTCATGGAGACAATGGATACCTATTTTGGCTTCTGTTGATGTGACCAGCGTACGATATAATATTGCATGCGTGTCTACAGACACAGCGTGGCCCCTTGAAGCACTGGTCTCGGAACACCGTGGGACGCGCTATTCTTGAGCGAGGAGCAGCTCAAAACCAAGGGTCCTTTGAAAATTCCTGTCCCTGAAAGGCGAGGCTTGAACCTGATACAATCCTGTGAGGCCGCTGTAATTCCCAGCTTTACCAGGTACAATTAGAAGGGCCGACGCGACACAACACAAAAAAGGCTGCTTCCTGCGCCGAAACGGCTCTGGAAACCCGAGGAGAGGAGAGGACAGGAGACAGGGGGAGCGGGCAGGCGGGTTATGCCAGAGATGTGGGGATGTTGGGAGAGAATTGACATGGTGACATGGTGTAGCAGACCTGCAGAAGTCCAAGTGATTTATTTCTGTTGCTCACTCAATCTCCAGTAACTACATGATTATCCATCCTTTTCTATCTGCTATTACTCTAGATAAAACCTGTCGCTCATTTTACTACCTCAGTTATCTCCAAGTGAGATGCAAGCAGTATGTGTCTCAGTCGCCTCAGTGCATTAGCAGTGGAGGCCGCAGTTACTAACTTGGCTACGGTCAGATGGGTGATCGGGGTGCATTCTTCATGTTTACTCTTATCGTATACAGTACGTCGATGGCGATATGGTTGACCCCGTTTCACCGGTGATGAACCGGTTTCCACTCGACCGTCAATGGGATGTTTGTCTGTTAGTTATCTCACTACCTTCCATCTTTACTACTAAAGACTAAACTATTTAAAAAGGATTATGTCTTCGTAACTAAAGTTAATCTTACTGTGGTTATGTAACTTGTGTGCTTTGGTGATTTTAATATGGAGAATTGTGTGAGTGGAGAATGCTCCATAATGTGTTATTTGTGAGGAATTACAAAAAGGTGCTTTCCTCCTCCCCTGGATGACACAGTACCATCAGCCCCTACGCACCCACCAGCATCCGTCTCCACCCTGTGCATTAGTGCATTAGTGCAACAGCGCGTCCCTTTGATCCGACAACCACCTGAGCCAAAACACTGCTACACCTGCAGCGACAAACAACGACCGGCCAAAACAGCTGCCGCCGCCAACACAGCCGGATCGCAGCGAGGAGACCACAAGCTTCCAGCAGCCACTTCCTGTCTCTCTGTGGAAAAGTACAAGCCCTCATAACTCTTCCTTTTTGTCAAATCACAACAAAGACCTTTTACTTTATTTTATTTTGCTGACGTTTTGCTATTTGAAAGATTATTATTTATTATTATTTACCAGCTAATTTTGATTGAAAAAACCCTGAGAGCTCCACAATAACAGCCACTTTTATCCGTTGAAAAAAAAAAGATCATCTATTTTCCCTTTGGTTGGCACCAATTGGCTCACCGCAGTTTGAGAACGCTTCCATGGAACTCTGGTGACTTTGATTTCAATTTAGCAAGTTGTCTTATTCTCTCTGTTGGAATCAATTCTGTCTTGTCTGTCTTTGTTCTTTTTTTGTCTTGATGGCACAAAGAGCTCTTATGATCAGCCGTGTAGAGGATCCCACAAAAGTAGCGCCATTCGAGCAGCACCCAGACTTTTTTCACAGCGTCTTCGCTCATGGCTAAACACAGAGGGGGTGAAGACGGCATCAAAGAGAAAGAAGCCTAGCCATCGCGCTCAACTTCCAAAGGTTCCCTCTGTTCCTTCAGAGGAGCCCTCCTTCTTTTCTTTCTTTTTTTCACAATCGAATTGGCCAGGCCAGGATTCCTCACATTCCTCACACTGAAAAGAGCGGAGTGAAATGTCTGCGTCAGGGTGGACACTCTGTTTTACAAATTGCAGCGGGCATTGTCTTTGCAGCACGTATGCAACTTATTCTTTTTAAGAAGTTGGTCTTTATCGATGCGCCCCTCCTTCTCCACCAGCAAAGCTTGCATCCCTGCCGCCGAGAACTGAGGTTCTGGGTAGATTGGGTTGACGTGCAGCAGGTTGCTCTCCTCTTGTTTGTTTTAGGGAGTAAAAACCTCAGCGGGGCGTCTTTTTCTACCTGTCTGATGGGGTTTGACGAGAGGGCCTGTTCTCCCAGTGTGTCCCTCAGGCTCCTGTTTAGAGCTCAGCCTGCTAAACACACACACACACACACACTGCTTTTCTTTGGCCATCCCCACCACCGAAGGATAATGCCCTCAGCTTCTTTTGCTTTTTCCCTAGACATTGTCAGTTCATTAATGATTCCTTTTACACCATGTGTGTGTGTGTGTGTGGCCCCTATAAAGCCAACCTGACTCCTGCAGAGAGACCAGACAAGCTTAAATCAGGACTTAGACCCTGTATGTCACACAGCCAGCAGCCACCTCATAACAATCACTAAGTCAGCGCCCCCACCCCCCCCCCCCTCCCCAACATCAGCAGGGCCACCAGTCTGCCCAGCTCAAAAAAATAAAAAGGCTCTCTAGGATTACATATCAATCTTTAGCCATTTTAACTGAGGCTTAAAAGGACACTCTCATTAGATAACACTCTGTCCTCTTTTCTTTATAGTTTACCTTTGTGAGTTTCTCTTACAATGACATTTTGAAAACCATCACAATTAAATAACCTAGTATTACTTTTATATAGTAGAAAATACTCCAATTCCTGCTCAGTTTGACTCTAAATGGTCATTATATTTACTAAATGATCATCATGCTGTCATGTTTACAATGTTTACTATGTGAATAAATCAAAAGAGAAGTATTCATATTTTCCCATAGACTTCTATACAATCTGACTTATTTTGTTCTCCTGAGCATTCGCCCTCTGCTGGCCAGTGCGGGAATGCAAAGTTTAAGACACTTCCACATTGACTTCACTCGGCAGAACTTTCAACATAACAATATCGTCACAAAATCAGACGTTTGATTTTGTGATGATATTGTTATGTTGAAAGTTCTGCCAAGTGAAGTCAATGTGGAAGTGTCTTAAACTTTGCATTACATAGGGGGATCGACAGCTCTGTTGTCTCAATTGATAACAAACAAATACCAACAAAAGTGTCTCTTGAATTCAGACTTCATATACAAAGCATATCTTAAGAGGTCACAGGAACACAGGTTAATAGACGTTGTAGTTATTAGAAGGTTGAGGCTTTGGCACAAAGCTCACAAGATCCGGCACAGAGTAATGTAATTCAATTCTGATAAGAAACCAGTGTTATGTTACATTATTCAACTTTGTTATTAAGACAGTTTCATGCAAATTAGTTCATAATTAAGCGAGTTACAGTCGAGGAAGTCTGCATCTCTCAATACACTACACAAATGTTTGTTTACTGGCTGATTTTACTGCTAATTGTACAGCTGATCTTACCGCCAAATCTAGTGTTAGACAGCTAAGAAATACTTTAATAAGTAATGATAATTTGCATAATAATTACTAATAATCATGAACGGGGGGTTGAGAATTAGTATAAAGTAGCAAATGGAGCAGACACCATTCAGCAGCCTGCCAACTACTACTTAACTTCCTAATAACAACAAGAGGAATGCTCCTTCATGTCTTTGAAACCCATGAAAGGTGTGCACCATTACAACGGATCCAAATTGATTGAGTTGTTGTAATGTGCTGTTACGAGGTTGGAGCCATTTCACTTGTTTATGCTTCCAACATAATCTACATGCTGTATAACATCTCTACATTTTTCCCTCCGAGGTGGGATTAATGAGTTAAACAGCAACGCGGGCTGCCTCACAGCCTGTGTTGTTCTTGCAGAGTTCATCTCCTGCGCTTTGAGGATGTGACTCAGCCAATCCGCTGTGTTTTTAGAGGCTGCTTCAGCCCAGAGCCCGGGATTCCACAGTTCTGGACCCAGACGGGCCATGAGAGAAGATGGTCGGATCAGACACATCGCGCCGCATGCTCACTGACAGATACAGTTATTTTGACAGAGTACACGCTCATGCCTCCATCCTGTAATCACACGCGGCCTCATAAAAGCCAGCGACCTACCAATTTGGGAATCCCTGCTGTTTTTGCGCTGTGATACAGCTCGTTTGCATGGTGCTATTACCGGCTTTAAGATCCCCGCGCAGATGTCGGGTCCATTTTATGGAAGCCCGGCTTTCATTTTTCTTTCACATTTGGGTGTCTGTAACTGTTTTTGACTGTTTTTTGTTTCAGAGCTGATTATAACTCTCTTGTTTGAAGGCTTTCCAAGGTTAGGGGGGGTTATGAATTCATGACCTCTTTTTAGTTGGAGTGGCCCGTGCTGTGATGGAGACATCATTATTTAGTTATGAATGAACCGGCTCGTATCCCTTTGGCTTGAATGGGTTTCTTTTTGTGTGGCATGCGCTAAGCTCCTTGGTTTTAGTGGTAAGAGGAAAATGAGGGGTCACTACCCCACACAGACGCAAACTCAGCCTCATCACAGATTCCCCATTGGCTCGGGCTTAGTTATGAGACCCTGGCAATGAGAAAGCTCTCACCCAATAAGGTGCCCTGTGGGGAAAGCCCTGGTCCAATAAGAAGGCCCCCCTGGGGTAACACTGGGGGATTACCAGCCTGAGCCTGCGGATTGAGCTCTAGGGCGAGGGAAGGGGGGCACGAGTCGCAGCGCGGGGGCTACTCGGTCGCCAAGGCCGGCGGCCTCCTTTAAATGGTTGCTATGGAGCAGGTATCAAAAGTGTGAGAGTCGCACACAGTCACGGTCATGGAGGGTATTAAGTGGCAACAAAGAGACAGTTATTCTGCAATAATCCGCCCTGCTGAGTGCAAGTTATTCTTCAATAATCAAGAGGCGAGGAGCAGGCGGGACAGAGCTGTGATCACAGAAGCATAGTGCTACACGGGGCTTGACTAGCACACACACACAGGTCACACCACATCAACATAGGCACACCAACTTTATTTATCACTTGTACATAGCCCCAGTCCCACACTCACTAACCCAGGCTTGGCCTTGTCGCTGTGGCTCCAAGTTAACACATTCTTGATGAGAATGTTGCAAAAAATCAAACAGGATAGCAATGATATTAATAACTACATTGCGCCAGCCAAGGCCAATCTACTCCTCACCCATGCTTAAAATTTCTGCCCACTGTCATGGGAATCAGACCAGTAATTGTTTGGGTAATCCAGACAAACAGACAAACAGTTTTGTCTGTGCCTCTGTAACATAACCGTGGTGGCTCCAGCTGTCCGTCAACTTGAACAATAACGACATGTTATTATGACATTGTGGATATTTTAAGGATTTGACAGTTCAATGGTGAGATTATATGCATTTGCTTCAATTGAATTAACTGGCTTAGACAACAACAAGGGTCTTCCAAAGCGAGTCCCACGTCACAGATTCCACTTGTGATCTTCAAGCAGAGCATCTTCAGGCAGGCAGCTCTGTTGGCTTGATCAGTACTCGCCGGGGAGGGTTTGCATTCGGGATGAGAGTCAAGGACGCGATGGCTAATTTGTTGTCCGGCTTTGGAAGCTAGTTTCTGCTGCGATTTATTTTACGTATCTTGCGGTCTTGTCTATGTTGGACGATTGGATTGGTGAGTTGTCAGCACTGATGGCGGCGTGGTAAGGGTGCGATGTGGTGCACAACTACCAGTCGATTTATGGCTAGTAGGAGACCGCCCGGTGCCCACAGTAGGAGTGATGGGTTCTGTAGCTCGTCTTGATGGGAACGCAGGAGCTGGTAGATGGATGTACCCTCCGTGGTCAGGCGAGATACCAAGCCATAATTATATTTCCTTCATAGATCAGCATTCGTTTAATATATTGTAAAGAAGCTTAGTCAGGGTGTTGGATTTTAATTGAAACCAAATGTATTTTTAGTTCAGAGCCTGTAATTTAAAGTGAGTTTTTTATTTGTTGTCATTATTATCTACTCAAGATCTTCCTCATTTTTTGTGTTTGGGTTTGTTAGTAAATAGTTTAATGAAATCCTAAGTAAAAAGGTAGAAATGAGACAACTGGACTAACTATGTACCTTATGATTTGTGAGATGAGTTAAATAAATGTGTGTTCTATATCAAATGTAATACATTTTAAATGCGGCAGTAGTTTATTTGTATTATTTATTTCTCTGTCCATTTTTATAACAATATTGTCTCATATATTCTTTTATTCTTGATCTCATATGTTTTTTCCGGATGCATGGCAATGATCATATGCCACACTTCCAGATTTCACATGTTCACATTGTCTTTGCCCCGCCCTCCTCCACCAGATCCGAGTGTGTCTGCAGCCTGGGCTTAGAGTTCCGTCGAGGGGCCGGTGTGCTGGACATGGTGTTCGAGTCTCCGTTCCAGCTCCTCACCTGCGGCTACGATACCTTCATCCGCCTGTGGGACCTGCGACTCAGCCCACGGTACTCCACCATGGTGGTCCCACGTAGGGTCTGTTTGTTAAATAGTGACACCTACAGTGTGTCAGCTGTACAGAGCTCTAGACCTTTACCACACCACGATCAACTTCAAATCTTCCATAAAGGACACTTATTATGGGAATTTGGGGTCTCAACACTGGATATTGGGGGGAATTTACGTCCTACCACAGCTATAAAGCCAAATTGTAACAATATATTTGATGAAAAACACAGTAAAGTGGGTCGAATGTCATTAATGTTTTAGATGGCATTGTCAGTGTGGTATGAAAGTGATGCAGCAGGTGGACTCTGCTGATGAGTCAGCCCTGAAAACAGTTGTGAAAGTAGCATTTGCAGAAGGTAAAAGGATTTCTAAAGTGAAAGCAGTTGAGCTCAGGGCTTTTCCTGCATAGAAGAATTTTTAGCAAAGTGGTTTTAGTCAGCGGCAAAGAAAACATCCCAAGTGCCAAAATCTAAGATGCACCAATCAATCAGCTACCGGTTGAAGTGTGACTGGATGGCACAGGCACACAGCAGAAGCCCCAGATGAGCTATAAAGAAACAACCTTCGACACAGGGTTTTAACAACTCTTAGCAGTTTCGCAAAATCTTTTAGTCAATGTTTTGTTGTTTTATTTACGGCAGTCCAACCTCCTTCCAATCTTTATTCAACGTACATTTGTTGGAATGCTGTTTAAGCAGGTATTCAATCCAACTTTCTATAATTACTACTACATTTTTCCTGCTCTGCATGAAAGACAAGAAAGTTGTTCTTATAGCTTTTAGAAATAAAGAAAATGAACAAAGCCGGTAATTGGCAGTTTGGCTAGTGCAGCTTTTTGGCCACGTTGGTGTCTCCTCGTCCTGCGCCAACCGAGGCCGCAGTGGGCTATGCACCTTTTACTTTCTATCTTTGCTTTGTAGTGCACCTTCATATATACTATATGTATTTGTACTACCACAGAGACTTCCCATTACTCATTGGGACTAATTGGTCAAATGTAAGGGCAGCCCCAGTACAAGTATTTCTGATTCAATAGATCAATAATTCTTTTTTGACCTTTGCTATATTATGGAATAATATAAAGTATGCCTAATTATTTCCCTCTTGTTGTGATGGAACAGCTTCAGAAATAATCTGTGATATAAAACTCATTCCTTGACTACTGTTTTTATCTACAGCAGTGTGGGCACGGGGAGCCCATTTTCAGCCCCTTCCCCCGCGATAAAAATATTAATGCAGCAGCCCTCATTTCAGAATATGCCGGCAGGATGACTGCGGAAAGAAGGCAGCGTGTATTTTGGACAGCGGGGGTTCGAGGGGTTTCAGGCCGTGTTTGGAGGGGTCAGTCAAGTAGGACAAATCAGATCTGATTGGCAGATTGCTCTGGGGACTTAGCGAGGGGCTGGGTCGGGGTGAAGTTTGGCAGAGGGGGGGCCCCCTCTTTAAATATCAATAATTCATGCACCCAAACCAAACCAGCCTAAAAAAAAGGCTCCCAGGGCCATCCAGGAGGTTCAGGTTGTCTGGAAGTTGGGGGCTCACCACCATAAAGAAATGCAGTGTGACAGATCAGTGATTCCCATGGTGATTAAGAGATCTAATGAACGATTGTTGTCCTCTCCTCTAAATGAACATGTCACATATGTTGCTATAGTAAAAATCACCATATGTGCCATTGTATATTGTTATAACTATGTATTCTGCTATGTTGTGACAGAGCGCATTTACTTTCTATATACTAACCAGCCTGGGCTGTCTGTCTTTGGTTGATTCTCCAAATGTAAAACCTTAATCACATAGATAGAAACATCATATTTACATAAATAAACCAGTACTGTAAATATGTACTGACATTCTTAAAAACCAAAATGGATCAGAAGACGTTTAGCGTATAATTTGGGTGATACATATCAGATATAATGTCACGTTATTGATAATTAATGTTACATTTTCAGTAATAATAAGTAGAACACTGCTCAATGAGTATGAGAAGTAACTCAAGTGATTTGTATGTTGGAATAAGGTGCAATGGAATCCAGATATAGAGGAGAGATGTGTTCCAACATAGCTTAGTAAGGCCAGGGAAAAATTCTTTCATCAACTTTCAGCTCATTACTCTTTTTTGATATAGTTGGATTGAAAAGTGTGTGTTTCACCTTCAGGATGGAAGGACAACGGGTGACCTCCTGTGTGTTTGTGTGTGTGTGTTTGTGTCCAGACGTCTCTGCTTCCACATTGTCTGCTCCTGTGTCTCTCCATCACTTATTGATGAGGCTGCACTAATGGAGGATCAATGTCTATTGGCAGAAAATACTTTCCCTGTCTTAAGCATTGCCACCGCAATCCTGTTTCCCTGCTCAATCTGCCGCATGCAGCATGCACGCACACACATGCACTCTCACACGCACACACAGCTTGACCTCCTTGTTGACAACAGTGAAGAATGATTCCATACACAGCTTTGTCTGTAAAGCTCTACAATATTCAACCTTTGTTCTCTCAGCTTTTTACTTTTTACCCGACTACAAAGGGTTACCAATATCAAACCTGTTGACCTTATTTAAGTTCCTCCTCATTTTTCCAATACATTGAATTGTTTGAATTATACGTTTAACAATAAATGTACATTTTTTGTCATGGGGCAAGGGATAATAACTAATGTTTAATCAGGTGCACCACTGTGGTCTTTACAGATTGGTGGATTGGCGCTCCCTTCACACCAGGCGGCTACAACAGCTGCGTGTGCTCTACAAATCCATTTTGGGAATGACCCCCCGCTACCTCTCAAATCTTCTGCACATTTCCGACAGCAATCGCCATTGCTTCATTCGGCTCATCATTCCAAAAGTCCGCCCTAACAGCCCTCATCCCTCTCAGCATATTCAAACATAAGCTGCAACGAGCCATAGTTGACTGCTGTATTTGCTAACCAGCCCTCACTTCTCTCTTCCATTTTTTACAAAGTACTTCCAGTAATCTGCCTTTTTTAATTCAACTAAACTTAACTAAATGAGAATAGGTTCTCAATGGATTTTACCTGGTTAAATAAAGGTCAAAATTTCCGTGGTAATTACGTCTAAAATGTTAAAATGCTTTACAACAGTTATGATATCCTGCTCCTTTCTATCACAAGGCGCCTCTTCTTCAAATTGTGTCAACACCCCCATCCATCCCATACAGGAAGTGCGTAATGGAGTGGGAGGAACCTCATGACAGTGCGCTCTACTGCATCCAGACGGATGGGAATCACATGATAGCCAGCGGCTCGTCGTACTACGGCGTGGTGCGACTCTGGGACAGACGGCAGAGCCAATGCCTGCAGGTATGTGGGCCACATTGCGTCCTCAGAATGGGAGTAGGCCACAGTACCATGCGTTTATAGACACATTAGAATGAAGTGAATGCCAGATGGTGAACAATAAAATAGCTCTATGATGATGTGATTTCAGTTCTTTCAGCTGAGCTCACGCCCAGTAAGCAGCCCGGTGTACTGCCTGCGGTTCAGTAGCTCTTACCTCCATGCAGCCCTGGCCACCTCTCTACACTCGCTGGACTTCAGTCAGAACCCTCTCCACATCAGATGATACACACACAAACTGTTCAAATTCATGTGTTCAATAAAAATGTCTATTTTCACACTAAAAAGGACTGCTCATTCTGATCCGGTTTCACAATTTTGGTCTTGGAAGGATCTTTTTGTACGTCAAAGTAATATAATATTACAGAAAGTGTGTGAGTCCCAGTAAAACATTTCCCATAGCGCAACCAGATAACCTTTCATTGGTTAACGCCAGGCTGTAACCTTTGGTTCTGAAAAATAAAGCCAGTGGGTCTAATTGTCATCAACGATCCATCACCACTTCCACGGTTTTGTCCGCTTGTGACCAGCTGAGCACCCCCTATAGAATGTTAGGGGAAACACTGTACTTGAAGGCATAACACAGCATTGATGCCGCCCACCAGCTAGCCAAACAAGAAGTGGAACAAAACTTCGGCAGCCCTTCCATCTTCATTGGCTTTACAGACTAAAACGTCCCCTGCACAGTCAATTCCAGCTGTGTGCTTTATTTGTGCGAGACCACTTTAGCTCACTCTAACAGGGACCATTACTACTGAACTGCATTATGCTGTTCCCTGATAAAAGACACGTGTTTCTTCTGGTACCTGTTTAGAAAGAAAAACAGATTTATATACTGAATGTTTACTTGATAACATTACTTTATTTTTTATTTATTACTACATTAATACAAGTGTGTAAGACACTAGTTTTTTCAATGTATTGTTGAATATAGTATAAAATGAACTAATTAACTTAATCACATGTTCCAGCACTAACATCTATCTATATATATATAAATATATATATGATATATATATATATATTAACTTAATCACATGTTCCAGCACTAACATCTATCTATCTATATATATATATAAAAAAATATGTGTATATATATATATATATATATATATATATATATATTATGGAACATATATGGCAAAGAGGGCCTTACCTACCAACTGAATCAACAGGTTTAAAAAACTAAATACCACTGGCTATTGTGCTGATAAGTGGTAAAGTAAAACAAGTTTTACACTATAACATTAGCTCTATGTTGCTCTGCTAGCTCCAGTTGCAGTAATCTGTTTTTGCGAGAAAGTGAAAAATGTTCATAATCAAGGTGAATATGTATCCACAGGCCTTGTAGTAAAATGAAATGAGCAGGAAGTGAGCTGAACAGGACACTTCTCGAGGTGAGAAGCATGCTGGTGCCTGCTGGGGAAGATGGGCTAATCCGTTAGCTGGAGGCACTGTGAGCACAAATGCTCAACACACAAAAAAATTCAAGAGCGCTAACTGTCTGAAGAGCAAGTGAATGAGTCCCGGGAAGGAACACACAGCTCTTCCAGCCCCGACCCTTTGGAGTGGGGGCCTGGATCCAGCCCGAAGCTTTTTGAAAGGATTAAGGCACATTAGCCTCTTGACAACAAAACAAAACATATCATCACTGGAAGCATGCTGTTTGGGTTTACATACATTTGACCCCTGCACCTGAGATCACACACCGTAGGGGAATCAGAGCGTTGAACACACCCCTCACCCTCCACCAATCCCTCACCGTACAATATTAGGATCAATTTGACAGATCAAATCTACGTCATTGACATCTGGGATTATCAAACCACTCATACTAGACAGCTGGACTATGTGTGTGTGTGTGTGTGTCTGTGTGCGTGTGTGCATTCATGGTCAGTTGCGGGAGTTAATGGAAAGGAATGAAGACTCAAACTGCTCAAGACCGCAGAGTAGATTTATTTAAAAGCAGTTTACCTGTGATAACAGTGTCTCGCTGTAATCATAGCACAACAACATAACACTGACACAAGAGGGCTTACCCAAGTAGAAGCAAAAGACATAGGCAACCAAAAAGATAACAATTATTTATTTGTCTGACCCATCAGATTTGTAGCAAAAGGCATGTTCTCACATCTCAGAGAGTGAAATGGTATGACATGATAAAACTGGATTAAAGTCAAAGGTCAAAGCTGTGAGAATGAAATTTAAGCTGTGGAAACAAGACCCTGTTGTATGAATATAGCATTCTGATCGAAGCAGAACTGAACTGCAGCAGAACTCGCAGGGCAGTGCATGAGTTTATGCTGGTGTCCCGGGTTGGGTAGCCACTGTCCCTGCTGGCCATTAATGGCATATATTAGATCATGTTGTCCATTAGCTAATATGCCAGGGCCACATTAAAGGAGTGGCCAGGGTGCGTAAAGACATTGCACACCCATGCAGGAGATGTGACCCTTAGGGACTCCTGACACTTGAATTAATCATTGAAGGCGGGGATGGGACCCACCGCCACAACACGCTATACACGCTAGATTGTCTTGGTGAAAGGTTTTGTCATACATGATTAGTAGATCTGAAAAAATAACGGCTACTGGATACTGTCTGATAAAGCTTATGATAGCCGCAGTAATGGTGTGGCTCAAACCAGAAACAGTCACTCGTGGATTCAATTCAATTCATTTAATATTATTTTGTATAGCCCAAAATCGCAAATTACAAATTTGCCTCAGAGGGCTTTACAGTCTGTACACATACGACATCCTCTGTCCCGAAACCCACACATCGACACAGGAAAAACTCCCCAAAAAATGAAAAAACCCTTCCATGGGGAAAAAATGGAAGAAATCTTAGGGAGAACGTCAGAGGTGGGATCCCACTGGGGGGATGGACAGACTACAATGGATGCCATGTGTACAGAATGAACAATGTATAATACATGCAATTCCTATGACAGAAATGATTCAAGTAATTGTGAGTAGTAAGCCAGGGGCACAGCAGGACCACTGCAGGGGCGAACACCATCAGATAGAAACACCATCCACAGAAGCATGTGGGGAGGGAAAGCACAAAGACATTAGGAGAGGGTAATGTTGGTTTATGATTACAGTATTATGATTATTATTTACAATAATAATGATGATGATGGCAGCAGCAGCAGATTCTTTGAGCAAAACAACGTCAGACAGCTTTTCGCAAATCTTTTTATTTCCTCTCACCCTAACACACACTTTTTTTCCATGCAGCCCGTCTAGGTGGTCCGTGTCCTCCCACCTCCCACCTGGTCCCACTACCGGTTGCATGAAGAGCATGATTAGATTGCTGTCAGGTGAGGTTCATTAAGCCACGTTTCCTGAACTACTCCCCACCCGATTACCTTACAGCTGAGCCCAACCACGCCCATCAGAGTGGCCCAGACCGTACTGAAGTCACTTAATGGGTCTTGTCATTTGGTACAGAAAAAGATGTTAAAAACAGTGGCCTGTGAGTTAACACGGCCATTGCAATGGTTCAGATCAGTTACCTCTCTAGATCTTTGAGACTTAACACTCCAATCAGCCTTCTTATAAATGTTGATTTTTTCTTAGTATGCTTTGTAATGGTTTTATGTTTCATCTGTTTTTTTCTGGATCAGACTCTAGCACAGTCCCCATCCAACCATCGATCGAACCATCCACTCATCCATCCATCCAACCAGTAAGATAAAACTACATTTACAATCCCGCAAACATTTGTAGTAACGCAAATATCAATTCTACCATCTTCTTTTCATGAAGACATTCTAAAAGAGTTAAATCAATATTTCGGTCTTCGCTGCTTTTGAAAACCCAATTTGCCTTTAAGTTCTAGACACACTAAATGGACAAACAATGTAAGTAATTCTCAGCTTCTCGAGTGTTCTCTCTGTAGTACATGTGTGGGTCTAGTGGAAAGACGAGCCCGGCATTGAGCGGTGGGTTTTCTTGTCTGCACATGTCTCTCCTCCTCTGTAGTGTCACTCAGGGTTTTGTAGCTTAGACCGCCGCCTTGCTCTCTCATCCCTGCTACCACTGTGTCGGGTGACATCATCCATTTGAGAAGGGGCTGCTACATCATGAGGCACAAAGCCGCTGTCGAGCGGCGGCCCCATAAAGAAACATGCCACACCGTTCAACCGCTCACTTCAAACAAGTCAGGTACAAAGCAGCTTCACCTGCTCCGCCTCGCTTTAGTTTCTCTCTTTCCTGAAATATGGTCAAGGACACTATGCTGACCATTGGCCTCCTTCATGTTATTTCAGTGGTTGCCGTTCAATGTCTAATATCAATGTGAACAGAAACCTATAGATGTCCACAGACGAGATGGCCTAAGTGTCCAAATAATTCAACCGACTCATCCACCTGTTGGAGCTGCTGCTGCTACTGTTGGGTTGCTTGATTTGGGGAGGTGGGGGAACATTTTCGCTAACCTGAGATCTAAATGTAAGTAAGTAGCTCCTCTGGTTCATGTCCTAACGGTCCGATAAGAGAAGTTCAGGGCATAGATGCTGGACGTTATCAGTGTTATCAAAGCAGGTCGAGGTCAAAGCGGGACGGGGGCGGCTGCAGTGCCGCCTGTAACCGGTGTAACAGCAATAACAGAAGGTCTGCTAATCCAGCAAGACGTTGTGTGGACCATGATTGGACTGCAGAAGCCAAGTGAAGTTTCTGTCCCCCTAAAAGGCCTGATTGAATTGGTAGATAGCAACATGGGGCACTGAATTGAATGAATTTAACAGACCAAAAATGAGACAAGAATTAGAAAGCTAGAAAGCCTCGTGGTCCCTCCGCTAAATGAAGGTCCTTCTGCAGAGCTGCTGCAAAATAAGTACTCAAGGTTGGTGGATTTTCATTATCACAGTCAGAATAATAAACACCTGGTGAGGGTTGGGTAAGGTCGTGCCTATGCCTTAAATATACATCTGTC